ACTGCCATATTACATTCTCACATAGCACCAAATTACATCATTGCATAATTCTCAACCCACTGAGAATCACGGCCAGGCCAAGTTGACACATACCTTAACTTTAATCATCACACTTACACCACATTAGTCTTACTTCATGGCTCCCATTGGTCATTGCCAGATTTACGTCACTAATGCATAGTCATATCTGCCTGTCTAGTGGTAAGAAGCTGTGCTATAATGCCAAAGGCATGTAGTTCAACTCTACTGCTGTTACTCAGGAGAAGATCTGACCTGATGGCACACAACAACATCAATTTGAAATATTAGATTAAGGGTATTAATGATTGAGGAGTAGGTGTATGCTATATGTTTAGTTTACGAGAGGAGAAGAAAAATCTGAGACAACATCTCTCTATCCTAAAGAATTCATGGTCAACTAGGGCTTGAGTGGAGTAGACAGTATAAATTTTTTTGTTATATAGTTGTTCTCAGTGAGATTTGTTTAATGATGTGCTTGGAAATGATGAATTTCTCCATTGTGGTTCTTGTCCCTTGTGTTGAAGTTGGCTCAGCCTCATAAGGACCAACTGTATGCATATTTGAACTGTGCTCTGCAGGGTCCTCAAGAGAAAGCTATAAAATCTCCTCCTTTGCCATTTACAGCCTCAGAAACCCAGTGGAGGGTCGGCTACAAGGCAATTCTGAGTAGATCGCAATGAGTGAGAGCCTGTGTGGAAGCAGACCACCAGACCTGTCTTCTGAAGTGCCTCTGGGTGGCTGAGAACCAGCAACAAGCACTACTGACACAGAAAAGCTTTATTTTTGAGTCCTTGATTGAGGAAGACAGAAGATGGCATTGATAAGAAGTTCTCTAAGACATGCAATACAGAACAGGATACTATGGGGGGGGGGGACTGGCTCATTTCAAAGTGTGACACATTCTGTCACTGACATTTAAGAAGTTTCAGTGGCTCAGGATATGAGTGGCCTTTTGAGCAGGATACGATTGTGTGCAAACCTTCCAGGACGGAACTTCCCTCCGTGCTGCTTCTCACTGAACTGCTCCTTGACTTGTCTTTTAAGTGTTCTGGCAGACAGCATCTCACAGGAAACTCCAATGTGGACATTCGTATCAATGGTTAATGATGCATTGTTTTTCTATGTCACTCAGTAATTTCCTAGACAAAACAATGGGAGCCCAAAGACTGTTCTTGTCTTGAAGGGAAGTCCGCTTCCAATATTGCCTTATTAATTTAACACATGAGAGTATTTGTTCTCGCAGTTGCCACAGCAACGTATTGGGGTGGGGGACGTGTTTCATGCAAAATGAGGAAATTCTGAAATGGGAAACAAATGCTCTCTATATACTTATATACACAAAAATTGAAATGTATGTATGTTAATGTGTCTGTGATTAGAGGCAGAAAGGTGTTTCTTGTTATTAGTCTAAATTTCAATGAATTTGTTAACTAATTTATAAAACAACCAGCCAATGAAAACAAGCCAACCACTTCCAAGGAGTTTCAGAAATGCTGGGAACGCACAAAATTATTCATAATTAGGTGATCGGTGGATGGTACAGCTCCCACCATGTGCTCGGATGCAACTAGCATGCAAATGAGCACAATGAACTCTGAAAAAAATGAAAAGAACATTTTTACCTCAGGGTGAACCTGATGCTGAGTGTCTCTGACATTCCCCTTTCAAAGGGATTCGAGAGCAAGGTCCCTGTGTTCTTGGTTTAAAAGCAGCCAGCAACTGACTGTCTCACAGAGAGACTTCTCAGTAGGAGGGAAAGTTTGAAAGGAGATGACCGATGCCACATTTATATACCTGATTTATATGAATGGTCATGAATAATGAAGCTGCACCATAATGGGATATAGAGAGGAAGGTTTTGGAGTCAAATAGACCTTGGTTTTAAGCCAGGCCACTTACTGTTACCTTGGGCATGCTTCTAAACTCTCTAGACATTGATGTGTCCTCAATTTTTAAAGGGAGATAATTGTATCTTTCAACATTGAAACCCAAATTGCTGATCAAGTAGTTATACTTTTCCCCCTCCAGTACTTGCTAAACAACATCTTTCCATTGCCCCTTAAGGGTCCTTGGTGGTGCAGTAGCCAAAAGACTGTCACCATTTCAAACTCCCCAGCTGTGCTGCGGGAGAAGGATGTGGCAGTCTGAACATCTGTAAAGATTTACAGCATTCAAAATCCTATGAGGCAGGTCCACTCTGAATCAGAATCAGTGAGTGCAGTTTGGTTTGTTGGTCCACAGCTCAGGGATAGAATTCTCTCCCTTTTGTGGGAAGCTGAGGTCAATACCCAGTCAGTGCACCTCATGTGCCACCAATATCTGTCTGTCCACAGAGATCTGTGTGTGGCTACGCTGCTGAATAGGCTCCAAGGGCACACCCACTGTTAGACAAGGTGAGGGAAAAGGTGCAGTACTCTAAATCTGAGAATCTGTTAAGAAAACCCTGTGGGAGACAGGATCTAATCTGTAACTGGTCATGGGGATGGTGCACAAAGTGCAGATTTTCACTGTGGATGATGCAGTTGCCATGAGTCAGTGTGCTCTAGACAGTAGTTGGCAATAACCACGGCCTTCTGGGAGTCAGATGTGGTCATATGATTTGCTCTGGCCAAGCAAATGTGACAGAAGTGTTTGCGAGGGAATTTTAAGGCCAGGGTAGAATTTGCTACACTAAGTGCAAAGAATCCTCCTTAGAAGCAAAGATTCTGAGGCTCTATCTCACTTACTTTGGGTCTGCTGTCAGGAAGGGTCAAATATCATGATTAGAAAGGTGAGAGTTAGTGAAAGAGAGGAAAACCTGCATCAAGATGGAGTGGCATGCTGCAATAATTGGCTTAAGCACAATGAAGATTGTGAGGATGGCACAAAATTAGGCAAGATTTCAATCACAGGGTCGATATACACCTAATAACAACTTCGTCTAGCTGGTTAACATTTTGGATGATGGCTGCTCCCTTAGCCTGGGTCCTGGCGTGACCCCCAAGCCACCCAGACATAGGGCGTAGCATGAGCAAGAAGTAAGTCTTGTTTTGAGACTTTTGTTACCTCATTTTATTGTGACCATGTTTTATCACTGATGGAAAGAGCTGAACAGTTTTAGAATTTTTTTTCTTCTGAGGCAATCTCAACATATGCCCAAATCTTCAGAATGATGTAAACCCTTTCCTGCTGACAAATGCTTTGTAAGAACCCATTTAGTCTCTGTGTTTCTTCTAACTTAGAATTGCTTTGGACAGAAGAATTGCTACAGCTGCAATTTCAGAACTCTTGCAAGACCGCTGTCCCTAAATTATGAAGAGTTCACACATTACCAAGAATAGGACTACACTGCTGTTCAAACTTGCTTAGTATTGCAAAAATGTAAGCTTTCCTCTGGAGGCCCATCTGTCAATCATACAGAACTGCCTGTTGGGTTGGAGATGTGTAAAAACAAGTTATCAAGAGTTATTTTGACTTGGGCAAATTAATTTCATTTCTGCCTTAATCTTGGGCTAGATTCAGCAATCCCAAGGTGAAAGTCTCATCTTTCCTCAGCCTCTACACATTGCTCAATGTTATAATTCAGAGGTTAGCATGAGTTCAGTCTCCTGTAATAGACCATTTCACTTTAAGTGTATGTTAAACTAATATTGACCTTTCCAAAGTAAAATGAAATCTGGTATTTGTGCTCAAAAGACTGAAACAGCAATAGATGTGGGAAGCAGCGGGAAGATTAATCACCTTGGTTCTTTCTTTGCTGAGAAAGTCCCTCTGGGAATTAGTCATTTTATATATTTAGTAGTGACAGACAGGAGTGGATTACTCAATAAGCAAGGTGAGCACTAGTGTACTGTGCTCAGTTACTAATCTCTAGTGGATGTCACCCTGTCATATCTTTGAGTCAAAACTAACTCAGCAGTAACTGTTTTCCGGCAGACTGTTAGAACAAAGAAGAAACACAACACCATCCATGAGGATAAGGATGGCACATGCTTACACATGTATGTTTACTCTTTTGTGTATAAACATAGATGTTTGTACAGAGTTGACAGAGACTAGGGTCATCAGTTAAACACTTTCTTTTTGGTATAGGCTATACAGACCTATGAAAAAACGCCAGGTAATGCCATCCTTGGAGAGGGACATCATGTTTGGGAGAGTGGAGGGGTGGTGCAGGAGAGGAAGACCCTCGAGATGGATCGATTCTGTGAGTGGAGTGGTGGGAATGAATGTGTCAGAGACGGTGAGGTTGGCACAGGATAGAGCAGCATTTAGGGCTCTTGTATATAGAGTCATTATGAGTCACAAATGACTCGATGGCACATAAAAACAACAGCAACAACAACAACAAAAGTGCCATGTTTAAGTGTTTGCCTGCTAATCAAAAGAGCTGCAGTTCAAATCCACCAGCAACACTAAAGCAGGAAAGACCTGATGATCGGATTCCTTAAAGAGTTTAACCTAGGAAACTCTATGGGCAAGTTCTACTCTGTCCTGAGTTGGAATTGACTTGAGGGCATATAACAATATATCTACCTTTATGGATAAACAAACCCCAACCACATCCTTCCCCTCTCTTACCCTGAACAAACAAACAAAAACTCTTATTTGGAAACTATCATTCCATCCAGATATACACATGTATAGAAATTGACATGTATTTCATCAAGGAAATGAAAACATGCTAAAGTAGGAAGCATACCAATAGAAAATGTGTCACCCCTGGAGAAAATCCAGATTGTTCCACTGTTACCGCACAGAGACATCTGTGCTCATATTCTGCTGAGAACAGTACAGAAGTCTCTAAGATGAATGGACGTCCAGGTAAGTGACTGAGGTCCATTTTCTCTGATGTTGCTGCAAGTCATGGTACCTGATGCTCACCATACAACTGTCCTTGGAGGGCACAGGACATGGCAATGCTGCTTTCAAAGGACTTTTCTAGATTATCAAAATCGCCTCACCCCCTACATGCAAGGTACAGATCTCGTGTAACATACCTGTATCCATTCTTTGTAGGAGTCTTCTCCGGGGGTCCAACCATTCTCAGGGTAGTTTAGGCGGGATCGTTCTGCAGACCAGTTGGTACTATATTGGGAAGAAGCTGTGATCTGATCAGAATGAATTTCTCCTGATTCCATGCCAAGTGCTTCCATACATTTGAAATCTGAAGGGCAAAAAAATAGGAAAAAAAAAAAGATCCCAAGTCAACAAAGCATCAAAGCATAGGTGGCAAAAGACACATTTTTTTTTATTATGGATGATAGAAGAATTGATGCCTTTTAGGTATGGTGTTGGAGAAGAGTATTGAATATACCATGGACTGCTAGGAAAACAGGTTTGTTCTAGAGAGGGTGAAATCAGGCTGCTCCTTGGAGGCAAGGATTCTGAAACTTCATCTGACATACTCTGGGCATGTTGCAAGGTGGGACAAGTCCTTGGAGATGGATGTGATGCTTGGGAGGGTGGAGGGACAGTGCAGTAGAGGAAGACCCTGGATGAGAAGTATTGATTCAGTGACTGGGGTAATGGGGTGTGTCAGAGGCAAGAAGATTGGCACGGGATAGAGTAGAGTTCAAAGCTGTTGTACATAGGTCGCTATGAGTCGCAGGCAACTCGATGGCACATAACAACAACAACAGCAACAACAACATGGCAGATTAAAAAGTTCATTCTGATTTTGACTTAAAACCAGAAATAACTGCAAAGGATCTACTGGAACTGAGTACCAATAGTTACATTTCCATAGTAATAATTTTTTTTTTTCAGTTATCCAGAAATTTATTTGGTTTCAGATTAACCTGTGTACGGCCTAATTAGGGAGCTCTCGTGGCCTACTGGCAAAGAGCTGCGCTGCAATCCCATCCATAGTAATAATTTTTAATGATAAGGCTAGCAAGATGAATTATTTTCCCAAGTGGACCTAGGTTAATAGAAACACTATTTGGAATTCCTTAGCAAATGACAAATGCTCTGATTGATTTGTCAAATGCATACAGGAATGCCATATGCGTACACACTAATTGTGTTTACATAAAATTTTAGTACTGAACGATTTCCTAGTGTAACTTATACAAGCACACAAGAGTCAGTACACATTTACAAAATCATATTGGATGGACACTAGATCTTAATTCTCTGCCATTTATAATCCTTGCAATTAGCACCAAGGCCACCTGTCTGGCCTGGTCTTCATTATTAACATCATTCGTTTATTATACTAAAATATGGGACTTTCCACCAGGGGTAAACTTCAGTATGATATGGCCCTAAGAGCACCACAGTATTACAGCATAAAATAATAATGCTTACAATATTGGCCATCAATCATCAAAACATGTTTTCCATTAGGCCCCACGTACTCAGTTTGATGGTATTGGGAAATGGGTAATCAATTTTCAGAAAATGTTAATCCCAAGTAGCTAAAGTGAAAAAGCTTTTGAGAGTTAAGTGGAAGAACCTCAACCATCTAGAAATGTTGGACAAACCCAAATGGCAATGAAAATGGCAACTTTCCCCTAGTTTTCCGTCATGATAAATAGGTTTTATACTCTTAAGCTTAGGTTTATTACTTGAAAAACAAAAATTATTTCTAGGTGAAGAAAATTAACTACAGATTAAACAGTGAAATGTAATTGGCCTTTACTTTTCAATAGGAACTGGTAGAGAAGATACTAATATATGCAGAGGACAGGACTAGCAAACACCCTGCTGTCCTCTTCTTGTATTGTTTTGCCTAGCAGCTTGACCTGATGAGGCACAGAAATGGCACACTCTTTTTCTATCAGGATTTTTTTCTCCCCACCTCCCACCCCCACCATCCAGCACTTAAAAAGAATTAAGATACCATAAACCTTAAGAAAGGGTTGAAAAACAACTATGAGATATCATCTCACCCCAGTCAGAATAGCAAAATTTAACAGAACAGCAAGCAACAAATGCTGGCGAAGTTGTAGAGAAACTGGAATCCTTATTCACTGCTGGTGGGAGTGTAAAATGGTGCAACCACTGTGGAAGGTGGTATGGCGCTTTCTCAAAAAGTTGCAAATAGAGATACCATTTGACCCAGCAATTCCACTACTGGGAGTACACCCTAAAGAAACCACAACCACCATCCAAGCAGATAAATGCACACCCATGTTTATCGTGGCTTTGTTCACGATAGCAAGGAGTTGGAAACAACCTAAGTGCCCATCAACAAATGAATGGATAGAGAAGATGTGGTATATTCACACAATGGAATACTACAGTACATTGAATAACAAGGAACTCATGCAATATTATTCCAAATGGGTGACCCTGGAGGACGTAATACTGAGTGAAGTATCAGTATCTTAGTCACAAAAGGACAAATGCTGCATGGTTGGTGCCACTGCTGTAAACAGGACTGACCTCGGGGTTGGGAGGAGACTGAGAAAGATGGGTTCAATAGTGTATATTGCATTGAAACAGATGAGGGAGAAAACTGTTTAAAAGGGATATGTGATTAGGTATTTTTATCATGACAGGAGTCCAGAGTGAAGGCTGCATAGTGGAGTGGACCTTGGGAGAAGGATTGTAAAACAATGAAAGAATTTTTCTTTTACTTTTCCAAGAAGGTAGTGTACTAGGGGGGAGGGTTAGGAAGGGGCGAAAAGTGCAACAATGAATGAATGGAAATCCAAAGTCTCCGTAAATTTTCATTGAAATTAATAATAAAGTTAAAAAAAAGAGAAAGGGTTGAGTTAGTTGAATATTTTAATAGCATCCAAAAATACATTCCTTTTCTCAAAAATGTTAAGCAATAACAGAAATTAAGATGTTTCTTTCATGTAGATACCCAGGTTTATACCTCTAAGAGAAAACACAAAAATGGCTTCCTCCAAGGTCCTCCACCTAGTCAAACCATCAACTATATATATTCTGTGGGGCTACTATACAGATACATTTCCCACAGATTTATTCTTACCCTCTAGGATCAAAGATTTGCAGGCTATTCCACATTCAAGACAGCAAGAGAGGTGGTCTGTTCATGGTTTATTGTTTCAAGGCCTCCTTTGCCACTCCCTACCTTTCCCCCCTAATTCCAGAGGCTCATAATCAACCTTCTCATCCACTATTTTATTAAGAAAACACATAAAATAGTTCTCCCTATTGATATTCATGCAAGCCACTTTAAAGGAGAAAAGCAAACAGTTGGCACCCCAATTCACAACACACTTCTTTAGTGTTTCATGTGGCCGCAGGTGTGTGAGGTGGAATAAAGGGAGAGTGTTTACCACAGGGCTTTGCAAGATGAATAAACACTGACCTTCAGAGACACTGCTCTGCAAGATGCTGTAGTTTGCTGAAAAGCCTTCTTTTGCTATGGCACTGTCAGTGTAAAAACTCATGGATAGAATGCCTGATGAAGAACGGATCCGACCTGGTGTTTTCTGTCCACAGTATCGCCCAATGTGAGGGCCAACTGAAAAGAGAAAAACACAGACAGTGTCAAAATGTCTTTCCTGAAAGCAGATTTTAAGAAACCCAAAAACCATTTGCAAACCTGGGTTCAAGCAGAGCCCAGAAGTGGTTTTTAACCCAAAGCAAGTCTTCAGTTTGCATGGAACATAATGGACCAGTTTGACAGAGAGGATTTTAGAGTCTGGCTCATAAAAGCAATGATAGAATAACTACATTCCCTAGTCAGAGACATTATTTTCAGGAACAGAATTGAAATGTTTGGTTCAAAATTGTGAAGAACAAGATTTGGGCTGTCACATGACACCTTGTCATCACCTGGGGTACATGTAGCTAAGCACTCTAGAACCTCAGCTATGATTTGATCTTCGGAATAGATCTCATTTCTGCCAGAGGCAGGGATGGTGGCAAAAGCGAGTGTCCTGGAAATAGAGTAGTCTTGGGTTTGATCAAGCACCCGGTGGTCCCCATGTAGTTCCTCCTTTTGCCCTAAGCCATGGCTTCCAATTCCAATAAACATCAGAGCTAAGCATGAAGGACAATAGATTATTCCTGGCTCAGGGAATACACTAAGGACTAATTGCCAATAGTATAAAATTAAAATTTCTGGAGAGCACAGTAACTAACAGTACGTTTTTCTGCCATAAAAAAGGAAAGAAAACAATGAATGATTGAAAATCCAAAATCTCTGTAAGTTTTCCTTAAAATTAATAATAATAATAATAATAAAATTTTAAGAAAAGGAAAGAAAAACGTATCAGACTTCTGTTAATTTTTTTTTTTTTCAGTTTTAGCTGGGTTTTGTGGGTTGGGGTTTTCTTTTTTAAGATTCCCCTAATCAAATCCAAAGATATGTGACTGCATCACATTTGTATCCAGCAGCCAAGAAATGTCCCCAAACTGCCATTTATTTGACTGTGCTCACCAGGAAAAAAGAAGCCCCAAGGCAGTGGACCATTTGGAGAACTAAGTGACTTGTGTGCATGTCAAACTGTGATTTGGCTCCAAGTAGCCACACCTTTGTCAAGAAGCACTTTTAGACAGATCTTGGCAATTAGAGATTATAGGTTGCCTTATGGGCTGCACGGAAGCTTCCAGGACTTGGAGAATCCTTCCATTTCCCTATATGCATCATCAGTAAGAAGGGAGAAAAAAAGCCCCATTCTCCCCCCCCCTTTTTTTTTCTTACTTTTTTTCTTTTTCATTGCACATATGGTGAAAACATACCAGATGGTCTGGACCTAGAAGGACAATCTGGTATGGACTGTTTTCCCCTCCAAGAAATTCATGGTTCTATGCATTTCAACTAAGAGTTATTGCTTTGTTTAAGAAAGCACAGTAGGTGGACCTCTCCCTGCAGGGACGAGCCTTCAACAGGGTCCCACTCTTGATGTTTAGTCTAAAATCTGTGTGTGCAGCCTCAATTCAGGGGGTAAAGGCTAATGGAAGCTACAAATGTGAATGGAAAATGAATCCCACAAGAAGAGATCTGAGAGCTGAATGTGAGCTGAATCGCTGTGAGGTTACTCATCCTAAATCAAAACCATTGCCATTGGGTTGACTTGAACCAGTAATGACCTTGGGGCAGACTGGAACTCCCCCTACAGAGTCCCAGAGCTGTAATCTATAGGAAGCCAATTATTGCCACATCTTTCTCCTGCAGAGTGGCAGGTGGGTTCAAACCACCAACCTTTCAGTTAGCAGCTGATCACTTAGCCACTGTGCACAAGGGCTCTTGAGTTCATCCTCAAAATTCATTGCCATCAAATTGGAATGATTCATAGCTGACCCGCCAGAGTTTTTGAGAAGCTATAAAATGGGAGGAGATCTCCCATCTTTCTCCCTTAGAGCTACTGGTGAATTTAAACCACCAGAAGAACAGAGCTACCTTTGGCCTGATCTGTGACACCGGAGCTCCCCATCTGCCCAGTATCTTGATTTGTAAAGTGTGCATATCTGGCGCTAGAGTTTCAATTCTTGAGCAAAAGACTTCAAAAAAACAAAACCAAAACCCTGGCCAACCTACTAATTTCTCAAGTCACTCCAGATAACTGACTTGGCAGAACTGAAAATGTTTTCTCTCTGCTGCTACCCCCTCACTCACTCTCTAGCACCTCCTCATTCTGCTTTATCCTAAGGAAAGCCAGGAGAAGAACCCAGGGCAGGAAATGAATACAGACCACCTACAAGGCCTCACGTAGTAGTGGTAAAGAGCCAGGCATGATGGGAAGAGGATTTTGTTTTTGTGGTCATCTTTGTTGCCAGGAGAAAGCATCTTTGGAAGAAGAAACTCTTGCCACTTTTCTCCTCTCCATTCCCTTCGTCAGCTTTATTCTTGGCCTCAGATTCTTCAGCAACAAGTCCTAGTTCTTTGCCAGTTTTTCTTCATTCAGAAAGTGGCCCTACTACCAATTCACTGCTTCCCCCCGACCCCGACTTTCCTATAGAGCTCAAAGTTACCCATAATATATGTATGGAAATAGCTTGCTAGCACTATGAGAATTCAATATCTGGTCCGTGATTTTAAATGAGAGATTAGGGTCCATTTAGATTTCTTCATTTTCCTTCTATTTAAATTCCATTATTCTGGTTTTGTGATCATTTTTATTCTTTAGTTTCTGGGCACCTTTTTATGGTCCTAATACTTGGGGGCCATCTCTGATCACCACAGCCACTGACCTTACCAAGAATATAAGCAAGAAAGGGAAGCTATGATCATCCTGTCAAAGCACTGGCTGCTGGTACCCCCCTCCACCATCACCCAAGTTCTTTGTGGGGTGAAGGGAGGGGGAATCTCTTTGAAAGAGCAAACAGAAGAGAACTTGTCTAGTGCAGACTCATAATTTTGAGAGTCTCCATGACTCACTGGTTGATAATGTTTAAGACATGCTGGGTAAATCTCTCTTCTGTCCTTTGGAACATCGCCCCCGGACAGCAGTGTTCAGCTCTCTTTAGGAGCCCTCAAGAAAAGAGAGTGAACAGCTCTTGTGGCTGTAATACAAAGAGGTATTGAATTTTCCTGAACAACAATGAGACGTTCGTCTGGCAAGCTAATGCAATATTGATCTGAGCAAGAGTGGATGAAGTACTCTTAGCATTCTTGTGTGTGTGTGTGTGTGTGTGTGCACTCATTTGTGTATTTACATACACACGGCTATTGGATTTCCTATTTCCGTTATTGTAGACCCAAAGGCCCAGGAGATGAATGGAAGATGTTACAGGAACAGAAGTATAATTCAAGTGTACTGAATAATTTATGCAAGCAACATGTGCTAAGTTACCATTTGGGGGAGAACCGAACTACAATGACCATGTCTTCCCAGGTTGTTGTTGTTGTTATGTGCCATCGAGTCGCCTGCGACTCACAGTGACCCTATGTACAACAGCCCTAAACTCCGCTCTGTCCTGTGCCAATCGCACTGTCTCCGACACTCCCATCCCAATTATCCCAGTCACTGAATCAATTCACCTCATAGAGGGCCTTCCTCTCCTGCGCTGTCCCTCCACTCTCCCAAGCATGATGTCCCTCTCTAAGGACTGGTCTCTCCTCACTACATGTCCAAAGTATGTTAGACGGAGCCTCAGGATCCTTGCCTCCAAGGAGCCACCCAGTTTAACCCTTTCCAGAACAAATCTGTTTGTTTTCCTAGCAGTCCATGGTATTCTCAATACTCTTCTCCAGCACCACAGCTCAAAGGCATCAATTCTCCTTCTATCCTCCCTGGTCATTGTCCAACTCTCTGATGCATAACAAGTGATTGCGAAGACCATGGCCTGTATCAGATGCACCTTACTCTCCAGAGAGACACCATTGCTCTTGAGTACTTTGGAGAGGTTCCTAACAGCAGACTTTCCCATGGCAATGCGCCTTTTAATTTCCTGGCTGCTGGTGCCACGACTGTTGACTATGGAGCCAAGCAAACTAAAGCTGTGTACAATCTCAATCTCTTCACAATCCATCCTGATGCAGCCAATTGGTCCAGTGGTGAGAATCTTTGTCTTCTTGACATCGAGCCTCAATCCATATTGTAGGCTGCAGTCCTTGACACTCTGCAGCAGGCGCTTCAGGTCCTCTTCAGTTTCAGCAAGCAGGGTTGTTGATAAATCGTCCACCAATCTTGACCCCACATTTCTCCTCATAGAGCCCAGCCTCCCGGATAATCTGTTCTGCATATAGGTTGAAAAGGTATGGCGATAGGATGCATCCCTGGCGTACGCCCTTCCTAATTTTGAACCATGCAGTGTTCCCTTGCTCTGTTCTTCCCAGGTAGGGAGGCAATATAGGATTTGTGCTGTTTAAACAACATTCAAGTGGGAAAGTTATCACATTCTTCAGATTTTCCTATTATCTCTTAAATAGTTGTGTTGTTGTTTGCCTTTGACTTGGAACCAACTCGCAGCTGATCCTCCAGCGGGTTTTATGAGGCAGTTAATTGCCCAGGAGGAGAGTGTCCCTCTTGAACTGTGGGATTGCAGTATCACTTATTAGACCTAGGACAGCAAGCTCCTTCCACTAATTACAGCACTCCCTTATGATCTGGCATTTTTAAAATCACTTTTATGAAGTAAACAATTGGAAGCAGGAGTGGCATCCACTTCCTAAATAACATGCCTTTGGAAACTCCATTTACTTTGATAAATGTTGATAGGTGTCAAGAGGCTTCAAAGCCTTTTGTTTATAGGGTCCATATGACTAGTGCTCAACTTGAAGGCAATCAGCAACAACAATGCAAACAAAATACCATGACAATCTCCTATAAAGAAGTACTTTTAAAATTAAATCTTTTGACTTTATGAACAAGTAAACAAACAAAAAAGGAATAATTTCCAAGATCCAAGATAAAACACATATAAACTCAAACTTATTGCCTGCCATCAAGTCAGCAACACCTCGTGGCTAACTCTCCAGTGGGGTTTTGGAGGCTGTAAACCCATCTTTCTCCTGCAGAGCTGTGAGGAGATTCGAACCGCCAGCAAGATGCTATCTTTGGCTTAACAGCACAATTCACTACAAACTGTCTCACCAGACCTGCCTGTAACATGCATACTTTTTATGTTTTATCTTCTAAATGTCATTGTCGATTTTTTAAAGGTGTAACATACATTTTTAAAAATCAATACTATGTGAAAGACCAAATAAAAACTTTCTTTTTCCCTGGTGGAGAAAAATGTGCTTATTTCTATCTATGCCTGTGGTTTTAAACGTCTACTTTTAATAAGAAATATATACAAGGGAAGTAAACAGAACTCGTTTTTATGAAATGTCTTCCTAAAAGCATTAAAATGTTTGGAATGTAGACATGACTGCAGTTCAGGCCCCACCCCCAGCCTAGACAGAGGCTGATGTCATTCTTCCCCTCCCATGTGGCATGAGCTAAGCATTCAGGTCTGGCTCCAACATTTAGAGGGAGCACTGCGGTTATGACGGGGGCAACAGTGCTTAGCTCAGGCTCTGAAACCACATGTAAACTTCCACAAATTACTGCAGAGTTGTTACTTGAGAACAAACACATAGATCTTCAAAGAGCATGATGGATGGATGTGTGTGCTCCACGACACACAGGCCTTGTGTTTTTGAGTTTTGGAATAAACTGCTTTTCCTCAAAGTCAATCTGAATCAATGGATAGCTTTCAATTACTCAGTCATTTAATTCAATGTTTATGATAAAATGCAACGTAAAAATCACTGGATGGTTAAAAAGCCTTCAGCGCCTTCTGGTTGTCATCTTTGGAAATGATATCAAAGACTAAAAGCAATTTCACTGGCAGAGGAATGACATGCATTGAACCACTATGACAAAAATGTCTCTTGTGCCATTGACAAAAGCGCAGGGAATACAGTTTCTCTCTTCGCCTAACAAAGAGAGACCTGTTTTGCTGATGGCGGTTGGATGAGATCAGGTAAATATTAACAAGCACATGACCAATTTTTCATATTCCAAAACCAGTTTTCTCTGGGAAGAAGTCAAATGCTCCATAGTTCAACACATGGGTGAATTGTAAGGCTAATAACCCCAATTGTTAATTGTTCCTCATTTCAACTCAGTGATTTCCTAGAACCAGAAAATTACTACTTTGAGAAACCCTTGACACTAATAACAATGTGCTTCTCTCTGAAAGTATTCTAAATAAATCGGTTGATTGGACCTCCTTTCCAGTTGTCATTTTAAATGGAAGTTCTAGAGGGGAAGGCTGAAAATTTGGGTTGTGAACAAATAAACCCATTATTAAATGTTTCAACTATTGTTACAATATTATTATAATACTGTTTTCCTAATTACTGGATTGAATACTGAGGACCCAATCAGCATTCTGTTTGGGTAAATCTTATTACTTAATGAAGGAGGTTTGGTAAGATCATCATAACCCTATTTATATGGTAAAAGCATAGAAACAACTAACTAAAAACTCATCCATTTCTGTTAATAATAATATATGCTTTCTCTAAATCTTTTTCTCCAAAGATGCTTACTATTGAGGGAGCTCTGGTGGAGCAGTCCATAGGGAGTTTCACAGCTAGCCTCAAGACTGGTTTCTAGTAGTTCGAATCCACCAGGGGCTGTACTGGAGAAAGGTGGGTAATTGCCTTCATTCAGTTTATAGCTTCTGAAATTCCACTGGAGGGTCAGCTATGAATTGGTTCTGACTCCACGACAATGACTTTATTGATTGAGAACTCTGGCTAAACTGAATTATACTCATCATTTTAATGTCAATTCAAAGGCTGGGGCGACTGCATTTAGATACTTGGTATCCATTACAATTTATTTAAATATTCATCCTCCTGACTTGATCATAGGATGACTATTTTACTTTCACTGATTTCTAGTTAAGTAACCTTAGTGGCACAGTATAAGAAGTGTTGTACTGCTAAGTGAAAGTCTGATGGTTTGAATCCAGCAGATGCTAGGTGGGATGGGTAATCTTCTCTGATCAAGAGTTAAAGCCTCGGAAACTAAATGGGGGGTCCCTATGACAAAGAAATCAAACAGATAATGTCTTGGAGAGGGTACAGCCAGAGTGCTCTTTGGAGGTAGGAATAATGAGACTTTGTCTCACATACTTTGGGCATGTTGCTAGGAGAGGCTATTCCTTGGAGAAGGACATGATGCTGGGAAGGGTGGAGGGTCAGTGAAGGAGGGGAAGACCCTCAACCAGGTAGACTGACACGGTGACTGCTGCAATGGGCTCTTATGTATCAGGATGTGTGAGGGTGGCGCAGGATGGAACGGGGTTCAGATCTTTTGTTCATAGGGTCGCTGTGAGTCGTACTCGACTTGACGGCACCTAACAACAACAATAACATGAATTGGGACTGAATGGATAGCAGTGGTTTGGTTTGGTTTTTTGTTTGTTTGGTTGTCCGGTTGATTTCAACTCACAGAGACTGAATAGGGTTTCTGTAAATCTTTAGGAAAGCAGATTGTCAACTATTTCTTCCATGGTAGATCCGAACTATTGAACTTTTGATTAGCAGTGGCGAGCTTTAACCTGTGTACGACCAGGGCGCTATTTTATAGATAGTTTGATAGCTCATAAGAACTTTCAAGTTGTCCTTTTCACTTGTGTAAAATGTATTCTCTAGAGAAATCTTAATAGTAAACCAGACTAAATGCAGACTAATACAAGCAACGCAGCTGTAGTAAATTATTTGATATTATCTTCCTCTGTTAAGAATTTGGTGTGTATGTGTGCCTTTTACCTCGCAGATCACAGGGACTGAATGGAAAACTTCTACTTAGGTGCCTGTAAAGACTACCTCCTCTATCTCCTTCAAATCTTTGCTCAAATTTCATCCTCTTAATAAGATCCCACTTGGACAAACCATTTACAATTTCAACCCACACGCCCCCTTGTCCTATCCTTTTATCTTATTTTTTTCATCGTGTCCCATTATCCTGCTTTAATGTTCTTTTCTCTATCCTCTCACTTTCTTCCTTCCTCCCTTCCTTGCTATGAACTAGAATGGACCCTGTGACAACTAACAGCAGCAACTTTCCACATGTAAGTAACATTCACTCATTTCTAACATGCACTGTTTCTTATCTGATTTTCTGGCAGAAGACTATGTTGTCTAGCTGATTCCAACTCACAGGGACACTGCTGGGCAGAGGAGAACTGCCCCGCCGGGTGTCCAAGGTTGTAAATTTTCATGGAAGCTGACTGCCATGTCTTTCACAAAGCAGCTGGTGGGTTTAAAATGTTGATCTTGCTGTGGGCAGCGGAGTGCTTTAACTGTTGCGTCACCCATACTCCTTGTACTCCACAAAGGAAAGTGCTTTATTGTTTTTGACGGCCAAGTGCCTAAACCAGTGCCTGGTAGGTGGGTAGTCACTCAATAACTATTTCTCAATATATAAATGAAGGAAGATGACAGAATTATTTACTAGAAATCACACATTGAGATTTGGCTGTAATTGCTTACGATAAGGATCCCCAGAGAGTAGACAAAAAAAAAAATCTGCCAAAGTTGAACTATTCAAATAGCCTCATTCTTTCCTTAAATTCCTAACTTTGTTTTTCGTCACACTTGTTGTTGTCTTTAGTTATTGTCCAGTCAGAACTGACCCTCCAGCAGGTTTTTAGAAGCATTAAATCACATGAGAGGAGATTACTCACCTTTCTTCCTCAGATCAGCTGGTGGATTTGAACTGTGTGCCTTTAGTTTGGCAGCACAATTCCTGACCACTAGACTATTATAATGGATAGATATTTCACCTTTGAAATTTTATGTGATATTTAATCTTCCTGCACTCGTAAATGTGGAGAGTGACTTAACTGATCTCTACAGTTTATAACTCTCTGACAGTTTATGACCTAATGAGGGAGCACTGGAGCCCTAGTGGTTAAGAGGTTGGGCTGCCAACCCAAAGGCAGGTAGTTCAATTCCACCAGCAGCTCCATGGGAGAAAGATTGACAATCTCCTCCTGTGAGATTTATAAAGTCTGAAAACCCACTTGAGGATCAACTGTGAGGTGGTTCTGACTTGAGGTCATGTGACAACAAGTGACTTAATAACAGTAGACAGCTGACTAGGAAGAAAGCCCCGAGAATCGACTAGTGAAAATCAGTCATTGAGAACCCTTTAGATCATAATGGTCTCACTGCAGCTGATCATGAGGGTGGTGTAAGATTGAGCATCGTTCTGTTCAGCTGTATGTGAAGTCAGAGACTGACTCAATGACAGAAATGACAAGAGGTCTGTCAGATTATCCACTACTTCAAACAGGAAAATGAAGCTTTGTAGCCAGGAGACCTTTCATCAGTTTTGACAGCCTCAGCTTTTTACCTATAAAATGAAAGAACAGGACTAAAGAATTGCTAAGGTTCTTTAAACTTAAATACTTCATTACTGCTGCATATATAAAGCAGTCCTGCTTTGCTCTCCCTACCCCTGTAAGCTATATATATTAAAAAAAGATATGTGTATTATGTCACTTGTGAATGAATCCTGGGGCTCCTCCCCCAGACCTTTCTCTTTTCTTCCAGTGGCTCTTACCATCAGGGAATCCATCCCAGATTTCTAGCCGATCATAGCGACAGAACGCCCCCCCTGGAGGATTTGCGTCCGGCTCCAGGTCAAAGCTTTCAAATTCCAGGATAATCTCTGACATCTTTGGTGCAAAGATAATATAAGTGCATTCTAGGCTGTTGGGGTATTTTTCAGGGAATCCAGGAGATTTTATGACTCCAGTAGGTGTTGTGTAGTTTTGGGAACATTCAGGACCTACAAGTGAAAGAGAATAAAGAAAGTGACAATTCTACCCACTAAGAAATAATCTGGGTAAAGACAACCTCTCTTTCTAATACAAACCCACTATTTTAATCACTCATTACCCAGCCTCTTCCTATTAGTGAGAAGGATGGAAAGTCATTTGAGATTTATTGTATTCACCCTAATTTTCCATTTGTGTGAAGCAATTTTAAAATGTCTGCTGTTGCGGGGTCGGGGGGAAATGACAAATATAAAATCACGTGGGAACAATGAATGAATAAGCTGCAGAAATCTCGACAGAGCCCTAGAGAAATAATTATAGCCCCTTCAAGCTTAAATCTTTAAATCTTAAGGCTGACAGGCCTTTATTGGTGAAATAGAACATTTGCAAAAATGCGCGAGAGAATTCAGTGAAGGGAGTTTGGGTTTCAGATTCCTACACCAGTGACTCAGTAACTCTGCCAGATGTGACCTATGGCTCTTTGACAAACGAAATGTGAAAGGTAATTCGTACATGGACCCAGGGTGAGTGACTCATTCTGAGTGGTGTTGACACAGGTGTGCCACTAAAGTGTGGCTGTTCGTGAGGGCACGATAAACTGTGATTACAGGCCATGTTGCTGGAAGTCACCTAATATCAATATTGACATCCTAACCTTCCCTGAAGTATTACACATTGGGCTGTATACCAGTCTGAACTGTTTATTATGGAAGTGTTGGCAACAAGGGGCCATGCTTGTGGTTGTGTATTTATAGTGCATAATTTTAATGATCATTTAACATTATTGAGATTATGGTGGTTTGTCATTTAAAACTGGTCAAGGGCATACACATATAATACAAGCTGAGCTCCTGACTGTGTAAACTCACAGACATTGAATCAAGTCAGACTCATGGTGAACCTCTTCAGGTTTCTGAGACTATAGTTCTTAAGAGGAAGTGGCTATCTAGTCTTTCTCCTAAGGAATAGCTTGCTGGTAGACCCAAACCACCAACTTTTTAGTTAGCAGCCCTACACAAAATCCATGAAGCCACCACCACACGGCCACCAATTCAACTCATGGCATCCAGTACTGAAAAGGGTGTTATTCACTATCTCACTGAAAATTCCACACCTATAAGGAGACAAGTATACTAACTTCTCCCCATCACCACCACTTCTGCCACCATGATTCTCAGGTAACTAAATTTAGAATTTCTGTAAATCACAGATGTCTTTACCCATTTGAACTCAGGATATAACTTTGGGGGGGGGGTACAGTTACACACTTTTGTTCTTGAACCACTAAACTGAGGATTTGCCTATTTTTGTGACTCTGTCTCACGGTCAAACACAAGACTCTGCAACAGCATGTAAAGATTCAATGCTAAATGAGGTGACTGGGTGAATGTTTCCTTAACTAAATGCTAAGTGTGCCAAGCAAGTAGAAACAACTTATTACGTATCAATACAGATTAAATTTAACCAGCCAGATCTCTATTTTTAGTGACCCAAGTTGAGAAGCTGAATCTTCACTTTAAGTATGTTTTGAAGCCAACTGAGAAGACGAAATCAATTGTTTCTCCCTGTGGGCATATTAGATAGCCATAGCATTGAAGACTCAAAGAATATCTATTAGATGAGCACAATGATTCTAGTTCATAGAGGTCTTATTTGCTTAAATAACTGCTTGATCTTTTTGTCAGGCTCACTTTTCACCATGACTGCCTCTTATAGTTATCTATTGGATTCTGACTAAAAATGTACTAATATGTTGCATCTTGCCATGCAAATTCCAGTTATAGAGATTTCAGAATGTGCTGTGTAGGACTTAAGCTCTTTCTAAGTTGTTCTGGTGGCTTCTGACAAGGCAGAAGCCTATTTAAAGCCTCAAATGCTAAAGACAAAATGAGCTACTGAGCTTTTTTTTTTAATTTTAAGATGTGATGATAGTAACTTTGGAGACTCCCAAACTCTTCCTTGGTGGAGATGTGGAATGCTTGGGTTAGATCTTTGTAGGGAAAAAACTAACAGTAGAGTTTAATGTAGGTAATAATGTTGTTCCTTTTAAAAAAAGATTAATATAGGTGAGATTAATATCCTCATCAAAAAGGGCTAAATACAGAGCAAAATTTCAAATTCTCATTGACTCTGAGATTTTCTGAAACCATAGAGTGGCTGAATCCCTGAAACTTTTGTCCTGAGATAATCTCTAATCCTTAAACCAAAAAATTCCCCTGCTCAAGTTTTCTTAGAACCAAATTATAGTTTTGCTTGTTTAGTAAAAATAAAGAAGAATGTGGCACCAGGGTTGGAAGAAGTCTCATCAACAACTTGCATCATGTAGATGGCATGACCTCGCCTGCTGGGAGCAAAGAGGACTTAAGCACTTGCTGATTAAAATAAAATGCTATAGCCTTCAATATGGATCCCAGTTACCATAAAGTAAAGAAACATTCTCAGAACAGGTTCAAAAGGCAACAGTATGATAAATGGAGAAAAGACTGACATTGTCAATGATTTCCTTTTACCTGGATCTACAATCCACACCTATGGAATTAGAAGTCAAGAAATAAAAAACATATTTCACTGGATAATTCTGCTGTCAGAGGTTTCTTTAAAGTACTGAAGAGCAAGGATGTCAGTTTAAAGACTAAGATATATCTGACCCAAGCTATTTTCATTTGCTTCATACATTTGTGAAAGTTGGACAATGAATAAGGAAAACCAAAGAAGAACTGATGCCTTCGAGCTGTGGTGCTGATAAAGAATATTGAATATATTGTTGTTGTGTACTGAGTCAGAATTATCTGTATAAGATCAAATTGACAACAGCGACTTGGCAGATATACCAGGAACCTTGAGACAAGGGGTATAGGTGTGGTACAGTGATTTTATGTTCATCAGGAAGGGCAACTCAAAAAAAGAGGTTGAGAATGGTTGTAAGACTTGAATAATGTAATCAATATCTGAATCACACACACAGACCCTGTTGAATTGGTAAACGTTTTGCTATGCATATTTGCGTAATCTCCAAACAACAAAGTAAAGCCAGGCTGCTCCTTGGAGGCAAGGATTCTGAAGCTTCATCTGACATACTTTGGACATGTTGCAAGGCGGAATCAGTCCTTGGAGAAGGATGTCATGCTTGGGAGGGTGGAGAGACAGTGCAGGAGAGGAAGGCCCTCAATGAGGTGGATTGATTCAGTGACTGGGGTAATGGGGATAGGTGTATCAGAGACAATAAGATTGGCAAGGGATTGAGCAGAGTTTAGGGCTGTCATGTATAGGGTCACCATGAATCGCAGCTACTCGACGGCACATAACGACAGCAATAAAAAGTGTCAAGAATTAAAATTGTAATTTCAAAACAACCAATTTTAAGATTTTTCACTGTGTCCTTGTCCTCTCAGATATTTATAGAAACTTGGTCAGGTTTTAAACATATTTTGAGGAAACTTGAAGATGGATGGGATAAGAGATAGAACTGGACTCAGCATGAGAAGCTTGGTGTTGTAGTCTCATTTTGACCACTAACCTGCTTATGGTTACCTTGGGGCATCTCTGAACTTTTCTGATCCTCAAAGCTATGAAAGGCAAGTGCAGAATAGGCTTTGGAATGTTGGGGAAATACTTGTAAATTAAAGATTTTGTAATTTCCTATTTTATCTGTTATCTAAAATTTTTTTATTATTATTATTAGTATTAGTATTTTCTATTAATCACTCTATAAATTTTCCACAGTGGAACTAGTATTCCTTGCAAAAGGGCAATGGAGGGAAGAGGCTAAAGAATAATAGGATAAATCAGATATAAAATAAATAGAAAAGGGGGGGGCAGAGAATACTAGATGAGCCTACACTGATGAACAGGAGTGAAGAAATTTTGGGAACAGACTTGTATACCTACAAGTGAATGAGGTGCTAGCACGAGGGAAACATATACAAGCCAGTGAATGTCATGCCTCTGAAGTTCTAAGATTGAGAGTGGTTTGCACAGCCATATGACTGCCACATTTAGCTGTTATTGACAATAAGAATGAATAATAATAGTTATGATAAAATATAAGCAATTATTATTAAATATACAGGTCCGAATGGCCCAGTGATAAGAAGCTGCACAATAATCCCAAACCCACCAGCTGTTCCATGGGAAAAGGACAGGAAATCTCCTCCTGTGCAATTCACCATCTCTGAAAACCTGCTAGAGAACCAGCTGTGGGTGACTTCTGACTCAATGGTATACAGCAGAAACATATATCAAGTTATCAACTCTTCTTTCAATAAACAGCCATCCCTATCTCCATCCAAAGACCTACAGAAATCTTCTATAAACTTATTCCAGCATCTGGGCCTGAATGAGAGGGACGGGGCACAGTGATAGCTGGGAAGGCTTGGGCTGAGTAGTGAAATTTCTTTAATTGAATGGGAATAACTCTAGGGCTAGTGGCCCATGGCTTTTACATCTAGGAAGAGACAGAAAGGGAAAACGGCATTCCTGGAGAAAGCATGAACATGGTTTAAACTTGTTCCAGGGAGGGCTGGAAACTAGTTTTACTGCTTTTCAGGTAAAAAGAGTCCTCTAGAAACAAAATGCAGGGACTCCAAACTGATCAAAATATTGATTAGAATATCAGATTTTGAATAGTAACCTTGTGGCCTAATTAATACCTTAAGACTGACAAGTCTTAATTTCCTGCCTGCATTATATGATTAACAGAATCCACGTGTTTTAAGGAAACATTATTACTGTATCCAGAAAGAAGTGCCATGTAGATTCATGGATTTGATACTATCGATGATTATTCTTGAAGAAAAAAGTGGCTTTGAACATGTTAATGCATATATAAATATATTATTCTAGTGAGTAACTATATTGATATATGTATAAGGAGTGATTGAGATGTGTACGTTGTTTTTTGCAAGAGAAAGATGGGCAATCTCCTCCCGTGCAATTACCTGCCTCTGGAAACCCACCAGAGGGTCAGCTTTGGGTTGATTTCAACTCAACAGTACAAAACAACCACAACATAAGGAATGACTGAGATGTATAGAAGGACTATTAAAAAGCCCCAGAGGTGAGGTGGTTAAAGTAGTTGGCTGTTAAATGAAATGCTAAGCAGCTGCTCCATGGGAGAAAGATGGGCAATCTCCTAGAGAAAGGATTTACAGAAACTCAATGAAAGGTTGCTATGACCCACAATCGATTTGATGACAGGGAGTTTGCCATAACACTAAAATATGTACTTTGTATGTATGGAGAGAATAAAATAATCAAGGATATGTGCTTGGCATTTTTCAGATGATGTCAATTCAGCTGGAAAATAAAACAAGAAAACATGGCAAAATCTGATCATATTAAGGAAGAATATATTGGTAAGTGAAAAGTGTGTATATATATTTAAGGACACAGTATATATTAATGTGTATATCGTGTGTGTGTGTGTCTGTACATATATGGGTAATTAGAAATAGCTTCCTGAAGACTACTTTTAGAGTCAGATTCTTAAAAAGGCAAGAAACAAACTAGAAATGGACAACATCTATGAGTGTTGAAGATAACAGATTTAGCCATAATAACTGTAATGCATATTCAGTGGCCGGCACTGGCCAAATGTTTTGAAGAGTTTTCATTTCAACTGATCTTCACAAACATTGGTGCAAGATACTACCATTCATTTTTTTCAGATGAGAAAACGAAGACTTTAAAGATTCACACAGACAGCCAGGGATAGAATTGGGATTCAAACTCACATGTGTTAGATCACATGAAAACTGTACTTCCAGCTATCTGAGCCAGAAAGGCCAGATAGTTAATGCACTGTGTGGAGTTGGAGAAGTGCAGGGAGGTGGGGATGCCGAGTCTTGAAGGGAACATTGAGGTTTGACATACTAGTCAATTTGGATCGTCTGTGAGTGCTTTAAGGACAGTGGCCAATGGCTATTTGAAAAACTATGAGTTGGACAAAGTAACATGGAAAGAATCATGCCTGGAGGACAGTAGGGTAATGGCTGTGGACGTGGAAAAGAAGCCATGATTTGCTCTGACTCTGGATAAGTATTCAAAGTAGCAGAGGCCATGTTGTGTTTAGGAAGTCAAGAAGAAGAAAATAAGGCTTCAAATCTCAAGGATGGTACCGGGGATCCTTGGCATTTTTCAGACTAACAGAAGTAAAGGAGATGAATTCATTTGTAAGGAAGATAGAGACTTCTCAACACCTTAGCGACAGATCTGTCTTTTCCTCTTTCCAGCCATTTTCAGATCTTTGAGAACAGTGAAAATAAAAGGCTATTCTTGGTCTCTTTTCAGACAGTGTTTTCCTTTGACAGTGCCAAGCACAGGTAAGCAAGAGAAAAAAGAAAAGTACACACACACACACACACACACACACACACACACACACGTATAATTTTATTCCTATAGCACGTCAAACTTCTTTCAACACAAGAAAATATGTACATATGTTATCAACTATACATTTTGATGTCATATGTATGCTACTCTTTATCCTAAAGGTTTTCTAAAGTATATGCTTTAAATACATTTGTGAAGAAAGTATTCTCTATTCATTCATATTTATGTGACGTTTAGGCTTAGATTTCTTAGAAGTTTAAAGATATTGTACCAATCTACCCAGAAAACCCTAATGGGTCTTCTTTTTATTATTCTCAGATGTTGTAATTGGTAAGTCCAGGTCTTTTTTAAATTTTTTTTAAAAAATGTCCTTTTGCCTATATTCAAGGATAGTATATTCAAGTCTTTAACTTCTGTCCACATTTAATATTACTTTAAAAATGTAAATCATGTAAAACCTAAATTTCACACAGGAAAGGATCCCACTGGCTGTTGCTGAAGATAGTGACTTCCATATAAACTTAAATTGCTCATTCATGGATTGATATGCACATTTAATCCCTTAACGCTGGGAAACTATGACTTGTTAGATTGTAGTCCTACCCAATCTATATCACAAAAGCATTGAAACAGAAGACCAGCAAGTGGTTGTATTGAAAGGGGAGGCTGATTTTTTATTCCTAATGGGAGTGCTATTTAAAGCACTGCTGTTTCTTCTCTTCTAAGAGGTTTCCCCCCCTAACCAGCCCCTTTTATTAGAAAGCCTCTTCTTCCCTCAATAGCTTTAGAAACTATAAGACAGGGTGGTTCTTTGCTTTTCCTGGGAACTTCCAGTCCTGAATGTTGTAATAAAGACAACTATGTGTATATAGCTTTAAGGTAAAAATAGGGGACTAATGCATTTTTTAAAAGTCAAGAAATCAAGCTTTGAGAATAACTTAAACTAATTTTGGAAGAAGAAAGATTAAAAAATGAAATTCTTTAAAAGGAATTTTATATAATATGTATACAACTCTGGTCAGAATGGTGCAATTCAATTCTTGAAAGGCTTTTTCCAACTTTAAACATACTTCTTCCATACAAGGGGCAATTTTGTTTCAAAATATTTTTTAGCATGTTTGTCATAGAAAAAAAAAATGTTGTGTGTACTGTAGAGGCAGGTAATCACACAGGAGGAGATTACCCATCTTTTTCCCATGGAGTGGCCTTGAACCACTTGCCTTTGGGATGGCAGTACAGCTTCTTGCCACTAGGCCACAAAAGAGATTAGATAGATAGATAGATATAGATATAGATATAGATATGTATATAGATATATATGGATAAAGTCATTACTCCCAATCCTTTTAATAAAAGACTAAATATAATCTTTTAATAAAAGACTAAATATAGTCTTTCATAGAATCAAATAATGTTAATCATGCTTGATCTGCTTTATTTACTTACCTCTCTTGAAAATTTCATAGCGTATAGAAAATCCAGCACCATGAGTTTCATAGTCAGAGACAAATCTGATAAAAAGAAATGGCCCAGAAGACACTATAGCAGAAGGGGCGATCTTCCCACAGAACTTTCCCGATAAGCGTCCATTGGCATTGTCACCATCGATGACCTCCACATAGTCATACCTAGCAGCAAGAAAATGTTAAGCTGGTGAGAAATGTCCTTTAAATTTCCACACATTAGAAAATCAGCATTATCTAGCATAGTCTGTCAGAGGAAAACTTTGAAGTGTGATCTGTATTCACCACAGCAGTACATAGAGGAAAGATAAATCCAGTAAAATTCAATCATTAAAATGGACTACATCATGTCTGTATACATCATCTGGCAACACAGAAGTATTAAGAAGAATGGTGGCCATTATACTTGCAGACAATGTCAGTTAAAGTAACCAATTAACAAGAAAAAGAAAATTCTCGTGAGTACAATTCTCTCTTATTAAATTGTGTTTCTTTGTCTATGGCAGTGCGGTGTCAATCCATAATGCTATGCATTCTTTTCAAACTGTGAAGTTCTTTTATGAATTCAAAATATCCCCTTGGCTGGGGCACTCCATGAACAATACTTTGATTTCTGTGAGCAATCCTCTAAACATATGGCCACAGAATAATAAACAGATTCTTTACTATTTAACTCAATTCCACTCAACTCCAGACTTCTTGGAAAATACGCTCTCAGCGTCCACATCCACTGGTTAAAACACCAACTGTCTTCCCCCAGCTGATACTTGGATCAAAGGCACAATTTATCTAAAGAAAGGAATTTATTTAAAGATGGAAAATAATTCTGTTTATCTCTCCTAGACAGAATCTTTAAAGGAATATCATTGTTTGAAAAGGAGAGGGAACCACACTTGAAATCAAGCAATGTAATATATTAAAAACAAAACCCCCACGAACTTAATAATGATATGCTAAGAAGGCATATGATAAAGAAGTGACAATTAAACATGACTCTAAAAATTACACTGGGATAACATACATGTTCCAAAGTTAGTTGTTTTTAAAATGTAGAACATCATCACCAATAAACTTAAATTCCCCCAGAAAAAAAAAAAACACAACAAAACATTTTTGTTTGTTTGGTGTCTTTATTTCTAAGTGTCTTGCTCTGGTCTCTCCTTTTTTATTTACGAAGTCACCTCGGAGCTGGATAATCTAATTTGTCTTCCATTTTGCTTCTAGAACTGACATGGAAACATTACAATACATTCATTTGAAACCTTTATTTTATTCCTCTGTTTAACTTACTTCAAAAGTCCTAGGCTATATTCATTTTGAGAATGCCTAAAATATGGCAGTAACATAAACTGTATCTGGCAATTCAAAAAGAGATCAAAGGGGAGGATATCTTCCGGCTGACCAATGCCATCTTTAACAATCCCTTTTCAAACTGTCCAGGACACATTAGTTATGTTTACACGAAGTCTCGTGAGACAACTGCAAAGATGATATCACTAGTTTAAGTGGACAGCTTAAGGCTCTTTAAATTAAAAATGACATTACCTCATCAGTTAAAATTGTGTGCCAGCTTTGTGTATATCAAGAAGAAAATAGAGCTGACATTGATGGAACTAAGCATTAACATATGTGAATTATTGTATTAACTGCACTTCCTCAGCTGCATCTGATGTTGCCAGTAGTAATCACTTGCTCTGTTAGCATCACTGTCCCTTTTCAAAACTATAGAAATACACAAGGGAATTGTCCATGTCTCAATACTTTGGGAGATGCTTTGCATGTTAAAAGAAGCAGGGGGAGAAGGAGGAGAAATAAAAGTGGAGGAGGAAGAGGAGGATGAAGCCAGCATTATGCTCAAAATCCCAACTAGCATTTTATATTCAACTGGGGGCAGCTGAAAAGAACACCCTCGCTGTATTCACGAGAGCTTCAGAAGTTGGCATTTATGGAGTAATTCCTTTTATCTCCACTGCATCTCTGACAAGACAGGTCTGCATGTTCTGCCCTGCGCTTTCATGTAATTTAGCTGTGATCTGAACTGGTGACTCTGTTTGGCCTAGCTACCAGGCAGTTAGTGGAGCCATATAGGCTTTTTATTTGGATCTTGACATGGTCTGAATACTAAGTGGTCAGTTCCAAGTATGTTCTGCCTTCCAATTATAAGTAAGTGAGGAACATCAGGCCTGCCTGAAGGCCTGGGAGCATTCTAGCCAGGAGACCTTTCTCCCAGGTGTCCCAGACCTTGGCCGATGGAGTGCCACTGAATGGCAGTTGGAAAGAAGTTAGTATTTTAATTTGCATGTCCTCCACTAGTAAATACTAGATTCTCCTCTTGGCAACAGTGAAGGTTAGTCTTAAAATGGAGAGAGGGATTAGAATCCCTTCCCAGGAAGAGATAAGTCATTGCAACTTTACTTGCCAATTTTAGGAGGCTGAATTATTCAGGGGATGCAAGAGCTTATATTTGTAAACTGGAATGCTGCTATCATTTTAGCATTTGCCTTTAAGGCTCATCCAACAGGACCCCAAAGAGTATCACAAATAGCAATTCCTGTAAATATTCAAGAGGGAGCATGCGCACCAGTTGCAAAGGCTAGCATTGCCAAAGAAGTTAAGAAAGCAGCTTGCAACTCCCTCTGGAGTTGATACCAGTTCCACTCCATAAGTTTCTCACTGGCAAACCTGGTGCTAGGAATGCAGCTTTAGTGTGCCAGCATCCCTCTCCAGAGACTAAATGTGTCACCACAGCAACGTACCCAGCCTGCATTGGCCTCAGGCCCAGGATACTGAGTTTGCAAATTTCGGTCCCCTAGCCGGCTGCACATTGCTCTGTTACTGCTGCCAGTGTGGCAAACACTACATTTCTTGGAATGTCAGTGGAGACATGCAAAGGTGACATGCAAAGGCACTTGTTCGACTCTCTTTCTGAACCACTGGGCTCCAGCTATGAAAAACGGTGGAAGTTGTGTTTGAGGAAGCGAAGAGGAAGGGACTGAAAAGGTGACTTTGGTGTGGGGCCCTGTGGCTTGAATGCCACTTTGCTCTGTCAAGAATGTTCCAGGTGACAAGGAGGATTCCAAAAAGTAGCACCCTAACCTGGGCTGCTTCACTTCCTCACTCACAGAACAAATACAGGTTCCATTTAAAGGAAGCCTCTCCCCACGCCCCCCCACCCCCACCTCTACGCCTGCCCCTGCCACTGATCACCCTGACACTTTAAGTGGAGTGTGGATTTTAAAACAATATTCAGGAGACAATCAGTCTCTATTCCTTTTGAGCATCATGCCACTTCTCTTAAATCTTCTCCCTTAAAGCTTTCCTTTTCTATAGTAACATCAGAATACACTTACTGCGAAGAAATGCAAAGATCTGTGCATGACTGTGGTGGCTTGCATGTGGCTTTGATGATGGCTCTATTACCAGTATTTAAAATACCACCAGGGCTGCTCAGGGAGAACAGGCTTTAGTGGAGCTTCCAGACTAGGGGGGAAGGACAGGATGTCAACTTTTGATGTTCTATCAGTGAAAACCTATGGACCACAAAAGAGTATTTTTCTGACTCGGCTGCTTTTGGATATGCTTTGGACATTCTAGAGCAAGACATCAAGTTTGGTAAGGCAGAGAGATGGAAAGGGAAAGGGAGACCCTCAATGAGAGAGGCTGGCACAGTGGCACCAATGACGACCTCCAACAAGTTGGTAACTGGAAGTTGATGCTGCAAGGCCAGGCAATGTTTTGAGCTGATGTACATTGCGTACAGAGGCTGTCAAGTCGACTATGACTCATAGTGACCCTATGAACAACAGAATGAAACCTTGCCCTATCCTGCTTTGTCCTCATAATCTCCATCGTGCCCAAGGCCATCATTGCAGTCATGATGTCAGTCTGTTTAGGTGAGGGTCTTCCTCTTGCCTGGTGACTCTTCACTTTTCTAAACAGGATGTACATTGTTGTTAGGTGCTGCCAAGTATAACTCATAGTGACCCTATGAACTGCCATCTGAAACTTGTCATAGCCTGTGCCATCCTCATCGTCTCTGAGACACTAGAGCCGGCTGCTGAAGTCAGTGTCAATCCATCTCACTGGGGTCTCCTTCTCCTTCACTGATCCCCCATCTTTCCAAGCATGATGTCCCTTTTCAAGGAATAGACTTGTCCAAAGTATGAAAGACAAAGCTTTGTTATCCTTGCCTTCAAGGAGCACTCTGACAGTACCTTTTCTAGGACATATATGATTGTTCTTTTTGAAGTCCATGGGATATTCAGTACTTTTTTCTAGCACTACAACTCAAAGGAATCAACTCTTGTTCTGTCATCCTTATTCATTTTCCAGCTCTCTGAGGCATAACAGGTGAATATGAAGATCATGGCCTCAATCAGGCTCACCTTAGTTTTCAAACTGATATCATCACTCATCAGCATTCTGGAGAGGTCCCTGACAGCAAATTTGCCCAATGCAATGTATGTTCTGGTTTCCTGGTTTGCTTCAATGGTGTACATTATTGTTGTTGTTATGTGCCATTGAGTCACCTCTGACTTATAGTGACTCTATGCAAAATAGCTCTGAACCGTGTCCTATCCTGAGCCAATTTCACTGTCCCTGACATACCTGCCTCCATTATCCCAGTTACTATGTAAATCCATCTCATCCAAGGCCTTCCTCCTCTCCTGTGCTGTCCCTCCGCCTTTCCAAGCATAATGTCCTTCTCCAAGGATAATCCTTCCTGGCCACATGCCCAAAGTATGTGATGGAGCTTCAAAATCTTTGCCTCCAGAGAACAATTTTGTTTCACCTTTGATCCTATCCAAGATAGAACTAATTGTTCCCTTGGCAGTTCATAGAATGTTCAATACTCCTCTCCAGTACTACAACTTGAAGGTATCAATTCTTCTGTCATCCTTAGTCATTGTCTAGCTCTCTGATGCATAGCAAGAAATTTCAAAAACCATGGCCTAAACCAGGTTTACCTTCGTCTCTAGACTGACACTTGTGCTCTTCTGCACTCTGGAGAGGTCCCTGACAGCAGATTTAACTAATGCAATTCATCTTTTGATTTCATTGTTGTTGTTTTTTACCATCAAGTTGAAACTGAGAGGCTGTTAATCACACAGGAGGAGATGGCTCATCCTTGCTGGTGGATTCAAACCTCATGCCTTTGGGATTGC